TTTGCGTTAATGTTGGGATTTTTTGTTAGTTCGTTGAGGTTTTGGGCACTATGCATCGTCTACGAAGAGAAAAAGTATTTGTCTCTATATAGGACAGCGAATCCTACATTAAGTGATTTGTGACTTGTTCGCCGACGCACCGATGAATAATAGCTGAAAAGTTTCCGGATGTGATGCGATACGTTTTTGAGATTGTTCTCAGCTTCTGCACATTTTAGGCATTGTGAATCCTTAATCACGACCAAGTGAAGTATTTCATGTGTACCCATCAGTTTTTTCATTGATTAAGGTATGACTTACACCGCAGCAAAAGAAAACATATTAGTCGATAGTCTTTGTTTTGCAACTTTACATGTTTCTTAGGATTACAGTTGGTTTTTCGAAATTTTGGAAGCTATTGCTTGCCGTTCGAGATACACGGACAAGATTCACGGATGAGCCACCGTGTGTGATGTTTGTTGACCTATGGTTGATGCCATCGCACAGGAATGCGGAGTAACCCACAAGCATTTAAGTGGAAATCGATATCATTTCATCAGATTATTCTTAATTTTCCAGAATTTATGTAGTGTAGATAGCTTGCTGTAACCAACTGCAGTGTTTCATGAATAGTTCGTGGGGCTCTATTTTAATGGCGTATGGCTCATGCCTCATCGAACGAATGCATAGATGAGAAAAAGGAATCTTCAATGGGAATGCAAATGTCTTTTTAAATTTCTGTTGGGAATTTGCAAACTTTAGGGGCTATGTATTGTTGGCTTTAAAAAATCAAGCGCTATATTGATAGTCCGATAAGCTATGTCTTGCTTAACGTATGAATCATGTTCCCAAGATTGCATGCAGAGGAGCTGAAAAGGTTTACTACGGAAGATTAACATCTTTTGGGCTTTTGGTCAGTTTCAAGTCACTTTGGATACCTTATATCGTATTCCAAGAGGCAATGAAGGGCACATAGGATAGTCCTCTAGAATTTGCCTTGACTGACGTATGATTCATAGTCCAAAAACCGAACGCATGGAAGTCGAACAAGTTTTCTATGGGACGGGACATGTTTTTTTAATCTATGTCAATGTTGGCAGATTTCAGGCAATATTAGTCATTAATTGGAGCATAGTGAAGTACTCGATGTATACCCGAGCCAATTGAGCATAAATAGCCGTACGTTTCATGCCACCGCAAATGAATTCATACTAACGAAAAGGGTTTGAGATAGGGATTGGCACGTTTTTTGAGATTTTAGTCAGTTTTTTCAGAGTTGTGGGCACACGAAACGCTCTTTGTTTCAACTCGCTTCACTGTCAAGTGAATTTTCAACTCTATTTGTTTAATAAACTATTATACAAGTTCTACCGATAAAGAGATCTAATGTATGGATGAGGGCGGGTGTCACTGTGCATGCGGTTGTGAGTGAAATCGTGACTGTAGCACTTTATATGTGTATCACTGTCGGCTTTCGGCTGGTTCTTCAACTCATATATTTAATGAGTCACAATGATACCTGCACGACGGAACTAAAACCGACCCACCACTTACCCATCCATCACACGTGCACGCCCAAAACGACAATCTAAGACTGGGCACTCTTTATGCGCACACTCATCGATACTCCAACAAGCATGAAATCCTCACAACCATACCCACATACAGATACGCAAACCAACACCTCACGATCAACTTCTGGTTAGGAAATATTGGCCGTTCGAGAGCTAAACAGAAAAAGTATTGAATTGGCATAACTCTAAGTTTGAAAAGGCCTCATTTGGCTAAAGGTGAATGGCAGCAGTATCTGATCAGTTGACATTCGAGCTTGGAAAAAGCTTTATTGTACGAAAAGCAGACATCGAACAACTTTGGTTCGCAAAACGTCCAGCAGGAAAACCTCTAATAAGTGGAGATCAGCAGAGCAAAAAAACATTTCTTAGGTTCAGTTGTCACTGCTAAAAATCCTCATTGTCGATAGCTATTCAAAGGATTCACAACTACATACTTACGTGACTTTACACCAGAAAAGAAACGCATCATCATAAAAAGAAGCTAATTTTATTTGATATGCTCCCCTTCAGTCGATTTGACTAAACATCATTCACCGGGACTACAAGAAATGCTTTATTGAAAGCCTACTAGATTCTCTATTAATTGGTGTATAACTGATGCAACCGTAAATGAGTGCATATTCGCTAAAACAGTTTATCAGAGAAATTCACCTTTTTTTTGTAATTTTAATAAGTTATTTTAGGTTTTTCGTGCTATAGATTGTTGATCAAGCGTGATTGAAGTGTCCACTGCATAGTCCACTAACTTTTGAATCGATTGACTTGTGGTCTACGTCTAGCAAATGAACACAAACTATTAGTTGAAAAGATGTACAATGCAAGTTTATCTGCTTTTTGAAACTTTTCTTCCAATTTTCGCGGATTTAAGGGACCATAGAAAGCCTTCAAGAGGCAATGTAGTGGTCGATAGATAAAGTATGACATTCCGCATTGATAGGCGTGTGATTCGTTTCTCGTGAGTGAAGGCATAATAGTGAGACATTTTTCCGATGTGATCTCACATGTTTTTGCGACTTTGAGTTAGTTTCTCAAGATTTTAGGCTCTATCACTCTTATTCAAAAAGCTATGCCGTTCTGAACGGATAGCTCAGGATATTTCGCATTGATAGACATATGACTCCTTTCGCAGTAAAAGCATGCATAATGGCTGAAAAGGTCAACGATGGTGATTGACTTGCTTTTTTTTATTTTACTTAGTTTTTGCATGTTTCAGGGATCATGGATCGTTGGTCTGAACAGAATCAAGTGCTCGCTTGATAACTTGTTATATTCTACTGCGCTCAACGTGTGACTCGTATCCGAAAAAAGCAATCCGCATCAGTCGAAATGATCTATAACGAAGACCTAATTTCTGGATTTTTTTCTTCAGCTTTTGCACATTTTATGCGCTATGAATCACTAGATAAGAGAAAGTCAGATGCTTCGGTGGATAACCCAATGCACTAAGCATTAGGAAATGTATGATTCATACCATGGTTAACGTTTGCATAGTACCTGAAAAGCGGTACGATTGCTGTTGGCACTTTTTTACGGATTTTTCTCAGTTTTTCCACATATTAGGCGTTTGGATCGATACTGAATAGCTTGTGCCAGATCTTGTACGAATATAGAATTGATTCATGCCTGCCGAATTAGTGCATACACGCCGAAAGAGGTTAGCTTTCAGTATTGGGATGATTTGTGGATTTTATGCAAGTTTCTGCAGCTTTTGATACTACAGGTTATTGTTAGGTAAATATTATGTCGGCCATCTCCGCTGTCAACAGATTCTGCATTAATTAACGTCCGATTGACCTCTCAATAAGAGCATATGTATATACTGAAAAATATTACGAAAAAGTTTGGATGCTTTTCAAGACCTCAGTGACTTGTTACAGATTTTTCGCATGGTAGACTATTGGACGATAGTGCATAAAATTCTCGGTGATTTCTCCACCCTACTTTAGCTTGATTGACGCATAATTGATGGCTTGACAAACGAATGTATATGTGTTGAAGACCATTGTAATGATATACGATAGATTTCCGTGGGAAATTCGTTAGGTTTTGCAGTTTTGGGCACTATAGATGGGTTGCGAACAGAAAATCTATTGATTGCCGGATAGCTCTCAGATTTTGCATTGATTGATATATCATACATGCCTGCTGAACTAGTGGACAATATCCAATATGGATGGACTCTGTGAGTTGCGATGTCTTCTGAATTATAGTCAGTATTTTCAGATTTCAGGCCTTATAGACCGCTGGATGAAAGTGGGTAAAATGCTCGATGATTGTTCACCAGATCGCACTTTGATTCAAGTAGCATTCATGCATTCGCAAACGGATGCATATTACCAAGAACAGTTTACAATGAGAGTTGACATGTTTTTTTTCTCAGATTTTAGGTTCTGTAGAATGTTAGCCTAGAGTGATCTAAGTACTTGCTGCATAGCCCACTAGATTCCACATTGACTGATGTGTGACTGATACTAGACAAAAGAAACGCAAATTTTTCAATAACCTTTTCGATCGAGGTTGTTTTGTTTTTGGCTCTTTTCACAATTTTCAGGAACTTTAGGCATCATAGATCGTTCTTGAAAGAACAATCTAGTGGTCGACACATGAAGCACATTATTCTGCATTTATTGACACATGACTCATTGCGCGATGAACGAGTGTATAATAGCCGAAGCGCTTTGCGATGTGACCAGACGTGTTTTGGGGATTTTTCTCAGTGTATGCAGATTTTAGGCACTGTAGATTGTTGGCCAAGAGATAATGAAGTGGTCAACCAAAAGCACAGTAAATTCTACTTTGATTGACGTATGGTTCGCGGTTCGTGAAATGAAGGCGTCTTCGCCTCAAAAGATTTACGATAGGTATTGAAATATTTTTTCGGATTTTTCTCAGTTTTCAGAGATTTTAGACACTATGATACCTTTGCCAATAGACAATGTAATGGTGAATGAATAGTGCACGAGATTCTGTATTGATTGAGGCAAGACTCACTCATGGTGTAGGAGACGAATGCTTATGGTGTGAATGTGGGTATGTGTATAGATGTATGAGTGGAGGTGTGGGCTTTAATGTGGATGCTCAAAGCAAGTCAAACGCACACCTACACCTACACCTACACCCGCACTCTAGTGTATATGGCTTCTGAATCAGAAAGTATCGTTTGTGAAGGAAAAACGAACCGTTCAATGGATGGCCTCAAGAATTTGAAATTGTTGATTCTGTGTTGAAGAGTATCGACAAGAAACAATGGCAAATGTGTGTGTGGAAAGAAAAGAGAACACCGCTGGTTCATGTGTGCATCTATGTGCGCGCTCTATATAGATAGTTTATTGACTAGCGCAAGGTGACGGATTGTTTTATGCCAAATCAGTACTGATGATGTGAAATGAGAGAAAGAGTAAATGAAAAATCGGTCATTTTTAACGTACATTCTTTACGGATAGATTGTTAGATAGGAAGCTCGAATGTTCTTCTCAACCATTCATCCAGACTATTACTTGATCCTGCCGATAGACCAAGGACAAGATCACCACTGTTTATATGCTGTTGAATCTGAGTTTTCAACGTTTCATCAAGTTGGCTTGGTGTGGTATTGCCTTGCGTTTGATCATTTAAAAATGTTCGTAGCGTGTTAGGACTCAAAATTTCTAAGCCAGGATCCTCACGTGCCAAGTANGGAAGCTCGAATGTTCTTCTCAACCATTCATCCAGACTATTACTTGATCCTGCCGATAGACCAAGGACAAGATCACCACTGTTTATATGCTGTTGAATCTGAGTTTTCAACGTTTCATCAAGTTGGCTTGGTGTGGTATTGCCTTGCGTTTGATCATTTAAAAATGTTCGTAGCGTGTTAGGACTCAAAATTTCTAAGCCAGGATCCTCACGTGCCAAGTATATTGGTACAATATAGACATGTTTGACATCGTCAAAAAGGTGACAAAGATCATTTTTCATAAAATGTTGTCGAGTGTTCTGAAAACCTTCATAAACAGCAGCAACATTATTTCCAGCTATTTCATGAGCGACTTGTAGTGCTCCACGGATTTTTGCCGGCGTATGAGCATAGTCTGTATACAAGTTAGGACGAATTTGTTCAAACCGACGTGATACACCTGGAAATCGGTTCACATGCTCGATCAGCTCAGAGATAGAAATATTCGTAGCAATGTGAACAACCCAGACGGCCTGCCACGCATTGCGACGATTTACTTCACCAATCAAGCAAAATAACATGATATGTGAATCATCATCTTGGATTATTACCGTGTCTTTATTTATTTGGATATCCAACTGCTCTTTGCCGCTTTGCCATACAATTGTGTATTTTGACTGCTTCACGAAATCTCGAAAAGCTTGAATGTAACTGTGCTCTGTTGGATAAGTATCTGGATGATCCCAGGTGGTTCCAGTTATGGCAGCTATATAGGGCTGGAAAGCAAGAAAATTACGATCATATTCGTCGGCTTCATACACAAAGAATGTTGATTTCGGGTGATAGGTACCAATATCACCAAAACTAATTTTTCCACCTATTGAGTAGCTGATTGGAATATTGAGCGCTTTAAATAGCCATATTATCATCGCTGTAGTTGTTGTTTTTCCATGCGATCCAGCTACAGCGATGAGTTGAAGTTGTTTCGCGTCAATTATATGTTTGATGAGTTTATCTCGTTTCGTAGCCATAATTCCATGATCAGCACAGAACTGAAATTCTGGCGAGTTTGGTTGTTCAATAGAAACAGCACTTGAATAGACAAACCAATCGATTGGATTTTGCATATGAATTTTCGAAATAGAATCGTATGACTGAGTAATTACTATGCTCACTTTACCATTTTTGCGAAGTTGCTCAATATAGTCTGAATTTCGTTTATCAGATCCTGAAACATCATAACCCATGCGTAGAGCAATCAGACTAAGTGGACCAATTCCACTTCCACCAATACCAGAAAAAAATATATGCATAACAATCAGTGCAACAATCAGGGGCGATTTTCGGTATCCTGTTGTATCAGAACAGAATATGTTCTCTGTGACGAATGACGATCGCCTCGATTTTTATCCTAAAAGATATATAGAAAAAATTTTGTAGCAAATGCGTAAATCTAACATAGGACGATTCCTGTTATATCTCGACGTATTTTTCTGATATGATTTCAAGAGAAGTACAGGAAATAATCTTGGTTCTTTTTTTCAGATGAGAAAGGTATAAAAATTGACAGGGAAACATGAGACTGCAGCTAAAGAGAGAGTCCGCCAGATCGCCAAACAAGTCGCCCATCGCTAAGCATTTCTGGAACTTTCGCGCAAACGAAAGATCATATGGAGAAACTTACAAATCCAAAATATCAGTTTGTTCTGACGTACTTGTGAAAAATGTCCAAAGTCATAATCTTCGATATTTTTTTGTGGTAAGACCATAAAATTTCAAATAATTATCTTTTTTTACACGTTTTGATGTTTTTTTAAAAATTTATTCTGTTTCTGGTGGTTCCTTTGACTCAGGGAAGGCCTACATTGATGCAGAAAAGAGTTTTCTATAAAATAGACTATTTTACTAGTTATTACAAAGAGTTTTTACAATCGATCGTGCCCACAGAAGAGCGGAAGGATTTATGGTTTATAGTCTTCTTGTATCTAGTAATTTGCCTCTAATCTCGTGGAATGACTCCATCTCGAAAAAAACTGATTCCAGTTTCTGAAAGTATTTCAGATGCTGCATGTTTTGATATATTACTTAATGTACAACAAGACGGCTCCTGAGTTTCAATGGGAGCCATCATTGGTACACTAGAATGGTCCTAAATAACCATTTTCAGCGTCAATTGGCCACTCTACCTCTACCTGACATGATTTTTCAACTTTAATATGTGTACATTCAACCACTGCATTTTTACATCCACTTTTTGACGCTGATCATCAATCTCCAGTACGATTTTTATTTGTAGTAAACTTACTCCAGAAAGTGGCCAATTGCAGCTCAAAATGGTTATTTAGGACCATCCTAGTGTACCAATGATGGTTCCCATTGAAACCCAAGAGCCGTCTTGTTGTAAATTAAGTATTATATATGAAAATATGTAGCATCTGAAGGACTTTCAGAAACTGGATTCAGTTTTTTTGGGATAGAATTGGTCCACGAGGCTAGAGACAAATTACCAGATACAAGAAGACCATAAACCATGAGTTCCTCCGCTCTTCTGGGGGCACGATCGATTGTAAAAATTCTTTGTAATAACTAGTGAAATAGTCTATTTTATAGAAAACTCTATTCTGCATCTATTTAGGCCTTTCCCTGAGTCAAAGGGGCGACCAGATACAGAAAAATCGAAAAAAGCCTCAAAACGTGTAAAAAAAATATAATTCTTTGAAATTTTGTGGTCTAACCCAAAAAATATCGAAGATTGTTACCTTCACGCGAGTGAAATTACCGGTCAATTTCAGTAATTCCAGCGGCAATTCGCCCAAGATGCGTTACAATTGTTCTTGTTCGTGTAGGGAGTTGATTTCTACATGCTATATCAAATGGTCAAATCAGATTCACGACATATCGAACCATCGTGACATCAACTGAACAACTCTGGTTTGTCAGCATCATTCTCATGGAATCTCGAAGTAATTGCAACGTTGATTCGGTCGGGTATAGTTCTAGGCATCCATATCTGTGTCCCAAGATGATTCTAACATTCTCTATCGAATGTACAATTGAATTCACGATAGTATGAACCATACTGATACAAACTTGAAAATAGTTCTTCCTCAGCATGAATTCCTGCAGAACATTGTAGTAATTGTAGCGGCGATTCAGTCAGAATGCATTCGAGAGTTTATCGTGAAGTATTCGAGGTGTTTTCAAATGATCTAATTAGTTGTTTGTTCACTTGTTCATCAGTCGAAACTGGCAATGGATAAATTCGTGCGTGAGATTAGAATATTCTGGAAAGGAACACTTTTGCGTTGTTCTGGCAGAAGACAGCCCTGATATTCTTCTAAGAATTGATTTTGTGGAGGAGGGCCCAATGGGCAGGCAGGTGACGAAATTGTTTTGCTTGTAGTCTAATTTTCTTAGCTCCATGACGTGTAAATATCTGAATAGCATTTCATGTGAAAGAGCGTTAAGCGCGCTACAAAGTCCACATTTACTTGTTATTAGAAACTCTTTTTCTCCAAAACGTTTTATCAAAAGTACTGGAAAATGATTTTTCTTCTGATCTTGTTTACTGTCTACTGTCAGACGGTAGGGAGACAGTCACAATATCAGCACACGCATTTTTCTCCGTGCTCAGCTTTTCACACCTCCTTTATGATGATACAGGTTATTCGAGAAAAGTTTCGCGTGAGGAACTATAGATGAGAATAAGACATCAATTTCCGAAATATTTTGACTTTTGCATATCAAAACGAGTATGAAGCTGCTCAGTCAGTATCTCCACTCTGAGAGATATTATTCACTACATTGCTCACTAACAGACTGAAACTTTAATTATCTAAGTTGAAAAATCAATATATCCTGCTTTGCGCAACAATGCTACCACGTCCTGAAGACCTGATTACACCATTCGATAGAGCATATAGAAGTCTACTTGCAACATGAATAAGGGTAACTGGAGCGCTTCCAGGGCGAATCAGAGCTGAAATAACTTCGACGTTCATATAGGAACCATGCTGACAAACCAGTATTTTCGTGTTTCTGCCAATATAGTTCTAGACCTCGTGAATTTGATTGCACCATTCGATACAGCATATCGAAGTCTACTTGCAGCACGCATGAGAGCAACTGGAATACTTTCTGGTCGAATTGGGACTGAAATCACTTCGAGCTGGACCTGGTGGACCTGCTGACAAACCAGTATTTTTTTCGTTTGTACCAATATAGTTCACGATTCCGTAAACTTGATTGTGCCATTCGATAAAGCATATCCAAGTATAGTTGAAACACAAATAAATGCAACTGAAACGCTTACAGAGTCCACCAGGGCTGCAATTACTGCGCGGTCCCCGGGGTACATGCTGACAAACCAGTATTTCGCCGTTTGTATCAATATAATTAACAATATCGTAAAATTAACTAGATCAATGGATAGAGCATATAGAAGTCTACTTGCAACGCAGATTACAATAACTCAAACACTTTCTGGGCGAATTGGGGCTGGAATTACTTTGAAATCTCCATCGAACGCATGATACGAAACCAGTATTTTTCAGTTTATATCAGTATGATTCAATATATCGTGATTCTGCTTTCACAATTTGATAGAGCATATCGTAGTCTACTTGCAGCATACATGAGGGTAGCTGGAACGTTTCCTGGACGAATCCCAGCTGGAATTACTCGAATAGGACGCTAACTTCATCAACGCATGACTTTCGGTATTTTTCAGAAGTACATCAGAAAAAATTGATATTTGGGTCGAAAAACTTCTTGATATAGTCTTTCGTTTGAGCAAAAGAAGTCCAAAAGCATTTAGTATCACCCGGCTTGATTGGTAGTCTGGCGGATGCTGTTTTCAGTGTATTGATCTTGCTGGTTAGATGCTTTCATAGGTACGTATTTGCCTCATTTTCATGTTTGATTTTCGTTTTTTTCTGTCTTTCTTTCTTCTTTTTTCTTGCTCTCTCCTTTCTTTCGTTTGCTTTTTTGTACTTTTTGCCTATTCTCTTTTGTTTTTCTTTTGTTAGTTCCTCTGCTTTTTTTTCATTATTTTTATACCTCCATTTTTGAAGTGTGATATTGTAGCCTAGTGTTGTATTGATCAATTCGTATTGATTTTGTCCTAGGTTCTTTCCTGCTGTGATTCTTAATTTTTTTCTCATATTCTTTTGAAAGCGCGTCTGAACGTAACAATCAACCACAAAATGAAGACAAACGCCACTAATGGTTGCTTCTTTTTATGTTATTCCGTAGACAAATTATATTCTTGAACAGAAAGAACCTTCAACGAAGCATGCAACAATACACCGTACAAATGAGTTTATTTACCTCATGAGGTCTACATCGAATTTACATAAACCATTTTAAGATCGAAGCCGTTTTGAGCAACATCTTTAGAAGTATGCACCTATCTCATACTTGGAGTGTGGATGTGATTGTGATTGTAGATACAGACGGAATGACACGTATACTCACACCCACCCTCACAGCCACAGCGGCAACCACATTCGATGTGCATGAAAATGAAACGCACACTGAGGATGCAAGATATAGATGTTGATCTGGGTATAGGTTGAATTGTGTGCAGAGATGGATTATTCCTTAAATCACACCTAGATCAACGCTCGCATCCACTTCCACGCACGTCGACAAGCAAAAAGAGGCTCACACGCATACGCACACCCATATTGGTGATATCGATTGAACAGGGTTCTACTGAGACTGGTGATGACTTACTTGCAACACCTCATAGACTTTGTCTTTTTCTTTGAATGGTAAGTGCTTCTTCATTGTAATCTGACAGCTAATAAAAGCAAGAGATATTGCGTTAACAGTCATTTTTCCAGAAGAAACAGATGCAAAGAGAAAGCTACCATATTTTTGGGCAGGTTGTGGGTGTCAGTATAGAATATGTAGTGTGTGTGCTTATCTGAATCTATGTACTGGTGAGGATGAAGGTCTACTCATCGTTCATACCCACATCTATGTATTGATCGCAGGCCTACAGTCACATTCAGACCTTCACCCACAACACAAACGCTAGTACTAACAGCACACCCACATCAATACGTTCACACACATACTTCAAGAATGCTATCTTTCTGATTCGTCTGATTCCCTAATGGTGATGTTGACGCACTGTAATATGAATCCATCGAGTTGTGTTGAACCGCAATCAGTCCTATACATTTCAATGATTCTCTTCGGTAGAATTTCAATTGTACGAATCCGATGAAGTAGTGCCAAATAGTTGAAGATTAAAACCGAATTCATTCAATTTCTCCATTAGAAAGCTCCCATAGCCTCGCTCGATCTGTTTATATTACTGGATAACAATTTTGTTTTGTCCGTTCCACTGATCTCCTTTGATTTGGTGAAGAGCAAGTAATAATATCTCAGATCCACTGCGTATGTCGCGTGCATATAGTCTTATTGGACTTTGACTCTTTTGTTGGTATATGATAGTTTTGTTGTGTATGATCCAATTGCCATTGACAACTATATTGACACCTAGTTTCTTGAATTTATCGCACTGAGTGCTGCTCTTATCATAGATACGATCGATCCGATCAAATGAAATACCTCTAGCAACGAGTAGAGCGGTCAAAATAGGTGCAATATCAGTAGGTAGTCCACAAGGGTAAACACCACAAATAACTGTCTGTCGAGAATTTTGGCCAAACATGAACTCAGACATACCATCAATGATAGCTGTACGACTAGTATTATCAATGGTTACTAACAAAATCGATTTCAAATATTCCGTCATACATAGATCATACACAAAATTTTTAATAGTGGATTTAAACCGAAGCATGACAGCAAATGCACACATAGTAAACAGATAATTTTGATCGACTCGTATCTCTAGCAATTGAAAACTTTGCTCGGTGGGCTCATTTCGTTCGATAATTATCGTACGCTGGTCAGAATTAAAGAGAATGACTGGACCGGTACTATGTAGCAAGAGCAAGCACTTCTTGTACAGACATTTCAAATGCAACATGCGTTAAGACACATCGAATGTTCACCGACAACGCACAACAACTTAGCACAGCGTGAATAGTTGCACCAACGCTCGAAATACCACTGTGAATACAACAATCGAATTGAAAATCTTCATTGTTGTTATTTCAATCTCTGCGTAGATGGTAAATTTGACTATCATCACTCTCACCGCCTAGTGCGACTAGCAAATCAAGATGACGATCAACAGAGCAAGTAGTAAATTGACAACCACCAGCGTTGGTATAATTAAGCGAACCTTGCCTGAGTAATATACTGTCAGCTAGATCAATGCTAGCACGGCTGAACGATGCAGTTCTGAGATCGATCGAGTTTTGTTTATTCGGTATTATAATTAGAAATTGGGAATCATTATTGCCTTGAAAAAGAATATCAGCATGATCAAACTGATCGATCCATGTTAAAATACGCACAACATTGCGAGGCATATGGTAAGTGAAGTTTTCACCGAAATGAGCAGACCGTTGAAGAGCAATAGCAGCAAAGAGCAGATGAACGCAAACATTTTTATCAGCTGAAATACGAATAGACTTTTCAGTACTTTCTTCTTTCCATAAATCCCTCTTACGGAGGACTGCTCTGAGTAGTAGTATGACCTGGAATAAGCAAATAAGTTTTCTTTAGATTATTCAGCACAAAAATAATTCATCTGCGAGATCTTGAACATTCGAATAATATTTACTTTGGAAACGAGCTGAATACCAAATTGATGTTCAACACTAGAACGAATTCTTTTTGCTAATCTCCAGATATCATAACCGTTGGTTATGTGAACAGTTTTAACTAAGACATTCGCGTGTGAATACCATGTTGCCGCTAAGCCTAATGTTTTCTCTTTCAGCCACACCGCTCAATGAGCTAATCAGCAGCCAGTTTAAGTTGGTTTTCCGCGTTGCGCAATGGATAACTGGCAATCTCATTGTTGCATTGTCGTTGAAGTTCTTTATATTTGTCGTATGTTACGATTGGATTAGTAAAGAAACAACCGGCATTACTGGTACCCAATCGCTTATTGGATAAACTCAAAGCTCGACGACGCATGACATCGTTGATCAGGTGTTCAGCTTCACGCCGAGCATCTGATGACGATGATACTGACAGCCGAATTGTAACTTTAGTAATGACATAACTATAGTAAACGTCGTTTTTCTGTTTAAATATACTTGCGCGATAGCCGAAGCAGCACGCATCCTTGTTTAGTATAGAAAAGTGCTTCGTTTCTGTATCGAAGACTTGAGGGTGGGTGTGGTTGCGAGTGTCGGTGTGGATTTGAATATAGGGAACATCCACGTCTATCAAGAGTTAAGTCCACTCAGACTCACACACTAAAATAAAATGTGTTGCAACTATATATCGTTAGTTATCGTGTCGCCTGTGGCAGTGTTTAAGAGGGTCCGTTGAAATAAAGGAAACAGTGTAAAATGAATCGAGAACGTCAGAGGAATAATAATGACGAACCAATAGGATTTAGTGTTTGTAAAGTATAAAACTTTCATGTTTGATCAAAACTGAAGCCGATTGATTTATCATTTTTACTCTCCTGCACCCTCGATTAATTTCACACTATTTTCCTTAATTCATTTGAATCCTTTAAATGGTGTCTACAGTTTCAGTCAGAATGTGTCGTATTATGTATGAGTCGTATTCTGTTTGCTAACTGTTCATTCACCGTTTTGTTTTGCACGTTCAACTCCATACAACCAACTCAATTCAATATACTTGCCTTATATATTTTCGTATATATTTTTTCCTAGATTATTTTTTTTTATTTATTACTGGTCGAGGATATGCCAAAAGATCGATCGATTACTCATACAAGACTGTCTTGAAGCGGTTTGATTGAGGTCAAACAACTTTAGGTCGTTCAGATCTCTAGAACTGACTGTCTGAGCTTTAAGAATATGTATCACTAGTTCGAGTTAAACTGAAAAAATAACAATTGTTCGCTGCTGCGGAAAAACGACAAATTCTTTGCAGAGTGGATTCGACCTATGTTTTCAAAATGTATCGCACCGAGCACCGAGTGTTGCATTTGAATGTGTCGTACATTGTGCCGTAAAGTACAACGCATGCCACACATTTTATTTTAGTGTTCATACACCACCTACTGTCATCCATACCCACCTACACCCTGTAGCATCTTCACTTTCACTCACAGTCAGAAATACACCAACACCATGGTGTTTTGAGGAAAGATTAGAAGGCTCGTTCTCGTAATTAATCTCGACGGCAAGACGGAATCAATTCTTCCTTTGATCATTCTGTGTTTAGAGGTCATAATCTGAGTCAACTCAACACGGTCCAATCATCTACATGGAAATAGTCAAAAGTGAATTATATTGATATACATCAGATGGATTTAGTGAAAAGTCAATAAAAAAAAAGCAAATTGCGAATGGAAGCGCGTAAAAAAGGAGCGGAAGGAAAAGTCGAACAAGAAAATCCACATGGATATAATATAGAAAAGAAGTTGTGGATATGGGTGTAGGTGTGAGTGAAGAGACGGTGCGCACCTTGCATACACGTCCATCCACGCACTAATTTTGTTGCTGGACAAGCTGTTTCCATTTGACTATTCTTTTCTTCTTTAATCACACCTGTGCGCTTGTTTTTCTTATCTCGTATCTAGAATTTAGTTGCTCATTCACCTATAACAGTTCATATATTTCGGCCGATCATTTGGGCTGTCTGAAAAGCCACCTTAAACAGCCTTAAACGTTGGAAAAGCGATGCGATTATTATCCTGAACAATGAAAAGTGATCACAATTTTTGACTGTCTTTGAACCGTTTTTCAAGGGAACATCAACGGCACTGTTTAAGTTCGTTACAGTCAATAATCGATGTGCTGTAGCATGACCGTATTTTCATCGTGCACTTTCGTGTTTACATTGTTCTTTTGTCCCATATGACTCATTTTATTACTAGACTTGCAGCCTATCTGGCATGTTCCTTATACTTTCTCTTATTATACGAAGCATTTCATTGCATAAATAGCATTCCTCCCTATGGATTTATTATGACAAGCTACATCCACAGTATATACTTGAAAAAGGAGCGCACACATACGTAATAAATGTACCTAATGTGCGAGAAAGTAACATAAAACATTTTTTAAGATGAACTAGTTCTCTGAGTAAAATAAAACTATAAATTCAGAGATGTATTTTTTAAAAGATAACGCACTACAGTCGTTTTCTGGCCGTTTTTAAACATTTATAAGCCCTTGTTTCGATACAGAGTGAGCAACATCATTAAAATTTGCGTAAACTTCCTACCAGGCATCTAGATGGCAAATGAGTAGATTCTATCATCAATAGAACTAACCAATGAAAAAAATGATGAATGATGACTATATGAAGATGTGCAGATGTGGTCGATAGCTCAATATTAATATCGTGTCAATCGTCGCATAGTATGACATACAGAGGCTTTTGTAGCTCACACGTCATATAGTCGAATAGACCTTAATAAAGTCTATCCATCAATGCTTAAAGTAGCTCAAAAAAGTCAATTGTGTCCTTATATTAAAAAATATAACAATATGTCAAAACGAAAAAGTAAAGTATATTTCAATCTCAACAAAACACCTATAAAACATTAGAAATTCGTCGAACTAAAAGTGATCGGTAAGATTGTTAAAGCTTATCTACTGAAGATTATTAGAAAATACTCGATGATGTTTATAAGATAGTTTTTTTGTTTGCCTGTGAAAACGGCTTAAAAACGGAGTAAAGTCAATGGTCGGAACAATAGTCATTTCGGCTGAACAATAAATGATGATGGTAATGAATGTGGTTCATAAACGTATTTGTCCGTTTTAGATTGCATCGTAAACGATCATCGAAACGGAAGTAGTTTTTCACCGTTTACGGGTTGTCTATGGCCTTTTACGGATCGTGCTGTGCGACTTTTGGTACTAAGTCAGTTTTACAAACATAACAACAGCTAGCAAGACTCTTTTGCTTTGAAATCTTCATAATATATAGTTATTTGGTTAATTTATGAGCTTGTTTATCGTCCAATAATGAAAAGTCATCATTTGCATGCATTCTTCAAACGCTGATTCCGTCAAAATGAAGCGAGCACTATGTAGGCATGTGTGCTAGGATCTTCTATCGTATGATAAACAAAAACCACGTACACGTTTAGCTCAGCTCATTCCTTGTCTATCATCATCAAACAGTACGACTTTCTTATTGAATTCTATCGATACATCACTACTTTATTACCCTTGTCGACATTTTTTCCTTGAATCCTGTTATGCTGCCCTCTATTATTTTTTATTCGTGTGATATCGAAGCGAAATACGATATGAATGCGATTAAAAAGATCAATGATTTTGAAAAAAAAAAACAATTTTCAAAATATATCAAATAAGTAAAAGTATAACTCAATATTGTTTTTTCTTATTGAAATGAATCGATTAGCATCGCTGTTTGTACTTGTGATTATTGGGAGTCGATCGAATGGCTGGTATCATGGTCGTACCGATTTATATGATGGTGATGCCGAAGTGTCATGCGAAACATCGACCGGTTCGGACATCGGTCGAGCTTTACCTGATGAGTTCAGGTCCGATTATTCAAAAATACCGAAGGGTGCATGGTTTCGAGTGTATGGTCAAATTCATCGCATGTCCTACGACAGATCCGATTCATTGCTACGACAAGATGACCCTCAACGACAGGGAAATTGTTATTTTCAAGCTGATGCCGGCATGAATGCTGAGTATATACAGAATATTCATTTTCCAAGATCTCTCTATTCAGGTGCCTCATATAATTACTTTTTCTCGGCTTCTATGGCAGGATATGATGAGGGCATTCAGATTCAACTTGAATGGTACGATGAAAGAAATGAATTGATCAATTCGACTAGTATTCATTCTCACGTACCCGGTCAAAAAATGAATTCATGTAAGTCAATGTAATTTACAACTTAACCATTTTTCTCGAATTATTCTCATATCATTATAGCACGCCTGTGCCAACCTTTCGAAGAAAAACTAGGAAAAGTGATATTCGATGCGGCGGTCATGCTCATTCGAATTAAAATCAACTCGCTTCCAGGGCAAACAGAGACAACACGACAGGCAATCGATATGATTAGTGTCTACTTCTTTCCTGATAATATTCCAGGCAGTGGACGACCCGGAAAATGAACTATCGGAGTGACAGAATTGAAGATTAGTGCATCAAGTTTTATTCAGACATATTGTTCTTGATATAAAAAAGAAAACTGATGCCTGTACCACGTGGGATTTTGGTTTCTATATGGCTATTTGTAACATAGCTGACTTCACCAAATGTTGGTTTATTGTAGCTGCATGAATCCATGGATAAGCAACCACCTTTTTGAAAAAAAGCTTTTTTTTCCGATTCTTCCCATACTAGTTAGACGAAAAGTAATGAGAAAACACGTAGGTGAAGTTATCATCATATTCGAGTATTTTCAGCCCGGATTCGCTCAGCAACTTATTCCAAATCTCCTATTCTTGTTCCAAGTACAACTCGACGAGTTCTATCCAATAGTATACTCAGATTTTCTATAACCCGAACTATAATTTTCAGGTTTTGTATAGCGCCATCTATGGTCCCAAAAATGATACTTTGGGCTGTGGTAAATCTGAGTACACCGTTGGATAGAGCTCCTCGAGTTCTACCTGGAACAAGAATAGGAGACTTAGAACAAGTTCCAAAGCGAATCCGGACTGGAAGTATGTTTCCGAGTTCATGGACTGCATGATGAAAGAATGGAAAAATCGATTTTGTAGGCGACTGGTTTTAGTTGTGAAAAATCTGAGCATAGTGTTGGATAGAGCTCACCGAGTTCTACGTGAAACAAGAATAGGATAGTTGAGAAAAGTTTCTGAGCAAATTCGGACTGAAAATACCTGGAAGGGTGTTGAATTTCATAGGGAAAGAACTGAAAAACCGTTTTTTTTAGAGACTGGCTGGAGCTATCAAAAATCTGATTATACCAACCGATAGAGCTCGTCAAGTTTTATTTAGAAGAAGAATTAGAGATTACGAACAAGTCCCTGAGCGAATCCGGGCTGGAAATACTTTGTAGGGTCCTAGGCTCCATGAGGAAAAAATGGAAATACCAATTTTGTACGCGACTGGTTTGAGTTGTGGAAAATCTGAGCATACCGCTGGATAGAGCTCGTCGAGTTGTACTTGAAACAAGTTCCTAGGCGAATTCGGGCTGGAAATGCTCGAATCTGATGATAACTTTTCCTACGCTGAGAAAACATTCTTGGTTTGAAAAAAAATAGAGACTTGGATATAAGATTGTGGGAGATCCAAGGTCTTCTTTAGGGATATTTCAGTAGTCTTTTGAATATTTAGCTGTAGAACCAAGAAAGTCTCCACAAATGTTTATTTTTCATCGAAAAATAACGATGGTACAGTAAAAGTACTAAAAGACACCGAATATGACCAACACTCCAAAAATTGCTATATTGCCTTTAGACTCTGGGTACCATTAAGTGCTTTTTAGTATTTTTACTTTAACATCGATAGTTTTTCGATGAAAAATAAAAATCTTTCTAACTAGAATGTTCAGCATAAAACGTTCCACTAAATAGATTATTTAAAAAACTCCGAAAACCTCCTGCTTCTTCAGATAAATATTCAAGAGGCTAATGCAATGTTCCTTAAGAATGAGCTGAATCTTCCATCATTTCACATTCAAGTCTCTATTATTTTCTGGCTAAAGATGTTTGCCCATTATAGATCTCTCTAATATGGGAATAGTTGATAGAAAACTTTTTTCAGAAAAGTAGTTGTCTCTCTACGAATTTGCCCATCTTCAATTTTCATATGAAGGACTCCATTGTCATCCTCTTTCGCAGAACTGATGGAAAACTCTCACTTTTTTTCTCTATTCGACTTAGAGACATTGATTGAAGCAAGTTGAAGTTAACTAGGTTGTGGATGTGGGTCTGTGGTGTAGAGAAGACGCACATCATTTCTAAATATGAGAACGACGATGTTAGTCTGTCAATTTGGTTGGAACCAATTCTTCCATACAGGCCAGCAGGCATAGCCGATTGAGCTAATGCATCCTCTGACGTTTGAGGGACTTGACCATCCCAGACCTAATTTCATCGTATCTGCAGCTTTTCAGGATTTGAATTCTCTTATTGCTACCTAAATCTCATCCGTTGAAATATCACTAGTGTCGCACACCTAGCAGACGCCATATTGTAGAGCTCTACGAAACATTCTTTTCATGGATTGATAATGTTATTCTTGCATGATATCAAATGCTTATTGGTGTCCTTTATTGAACGACTGACTGGGGAGACAATTTTTCCAAAGTAGTGAATGATCTGCTGGAGTAATTTCGCTTCTAAGTGGTAGTTGGACTCCAGTTAATGTCGCAAGTTGTATCAAGAGGTTGCCTTTGTTTTAGCCACAACATTCTTGGTCCTATATCATGTGTGTATATTTTTGTGTCAATTTTCCGCTGTTTGTCACTCTCTCCAAATTCCGTAGTTTTCTTTTCGTTGATGATAGTGTAGACATTTTCAATATCGCTGTACAAAACAGCAACCAATCAGTGTCTATGTCGACTTTCTTTGGTGGTATGAGAGATAATCCTTAGACAATATTATTTGCAAATGACCAGGTGATGATCAATAGATACATCTGCTCCACTTTTAAAACGCGCATTCAATACACTTTTCCATAATTCATCGATTACATCAGAAACCAACCTATACCAAGTGTATATGTGAATATATTTGTGATGAGAAAAGGTATTCATCGTGAAGAAGTCACCGCTATCACAAAAATCCAGCAGCAGTCTGCACTGTGCTATTTTGGACTCACAATATTACAAAAGACAATCAGATATGGTCGTATGTACTCTACTTTCATAACCATTTTAGTTGCAAAGTTCTTTTAGTGTAGTATACTGATGGAATCCAATCGATTCTGGTAAGATCCAATAATTAGAACTGATTGCAATTCACCAATCGAAAACATTCGATGCAAGTGATTTCCGGTCGTTGGAACGCTTCGATCTGAGTAAAATTACGCCGTATGACTCTGCCTACGCTTGATTAAATAAAAAAGAAACTTCTCTAAATCGTGTGAAATTATTCTAAAAAAGAGAATCGAATGCTGGTGTAACGCATTTCAACCTTGAATGGATGAGAGTAAATATGATACCATGATTGTTGCAACTTCATCTCGGCTAAAAGAATTGTTAGATAATTAGACCCTTCGCAGGTCTGTCTGTATTGATTCACGGAACCAACACAAGACATGTCCACACTGGAAGGCTGAATTCTGAAAGCAATATTTTATTTATAGCTAACATTGTTTCCATACTTACCTGTCTCGGACGAAAAAAAATGTCCAAATACAGAACAAATTATTGATCGCATAATTATGTCAATGATAGAAAATAATGAGCAATCGATCAACATTTGTAAAGAAAAGCTAGACAAGGTCAAATACGTATGACATCCTCAAAGTGTTTTTTTATTACAATAATGAGAAAAGGTATTATTTGGTTATCAAAAAAGTCATAAAGCAATGTAATTTGATCGAAATTCCGCATACGACTTTTGTTTATTGAGCTACTCAATTAGGAGAACCTTTACTTCAAGTCTACGATATACATCAGAAATAATCACCCATCGCTTCGAAAATTGTGGTTACTGATCTAACTACTTCTTTGTGAAATAGTTTAAAAAAAGGTCATGGATTTATGGTGCTATAATTACAAAGATAATATTGATTGTTTTGATTTAGACGTTGAAGTATAAATGACAGTCACTATAGATTTTTTTGTTTTATGATATTCTTCTAGTTGTAGAAAATGAACTAAGTATTTCTAAGTCTAAATGTTTTCAGCAATATGCGACATGAACGAGGCTGAAAAATTATTTTAATTTTGATTGTTTTATTATCAACATAAGGATTTAGAACAATGATTCAGAATATCAAATCTCTAGTAAAATTGTCACTGCATCGACTCAATTAGTAAAAATTTCGTCTTGTTCACAATTTCATCATGTTTTTAAACATAGATCGAAACAATATTACAACCATCCGTCTTTTTGCGACACCTTCAAGTTAGAATTTTAATCAATGTAGATGACGAATAAACACTTTTATTTGTTTCAAATTTTCTATCCTTCAATATTTCATTGATTGGTGATTTATAAGTTATTCAAGATAAAAAATTATGTAGATTGTTTTCATAAGATAAGCAAGTATGTTGACAAACTGAGGTTGGACATAAGAAGGAAAGAAAAAACATTCTCGATAGCATGTGTCTTTTCTCGACTCTTTCTTCAACGTTATAGGTTAGTGCAATAAACAATCAGCATTGAAAAGAAAAAAAATATATTGTAATATTTGTTCTTCATTTTTTTCTTCTGTTTTCTATTTGACTCACGAGTAAGAAGTATTAAATCCACTGTTTAGAAGTAGATTCGTTATTGTCAAGTACAATAATATAACTATGACAAATGAAACATCTAAAACGGTTTTTCTTGCTGGTTGTGGAGGTGGCTATGATATATTTGGTAGTCTACCATATTATTTTAAAATGAAATCTTCTGGAAATTATGATGTCACACTTATCAATTATGCTTTCACTGCACATCATATTTTATCTAAATACAGTCAGCAATTAACAAAATTACTCTTTCGTGTTGATCCAAGAACAGACGTTAGCTGGCTGACAGATAATGTTTACTTTCCTGAACAACGTCTTGCTAATGAACTTCGAGTGCCTATTTATGCAATCTTATGTAATTATGATGAAACACGTATTGACTTAATCGTCGAAGCCTATAAATATTTAATACAAGGACGTATCATTGATGAACTTGTTTTGATTGATGGTGGCTCAGATGTTTTATTAACAGGCAATGAAAAACAATTGGGTAAATAATATACTTTATTTGACAAAATCTTTGTTGAAAATATTAATTTACTATAGGAACTCCGGTTGAAGACATGTCACATGCACGTGCTGTTCAACTTTTGTCTTCAGATCAGGTTAAATCAAAATGCATTGTAGTCATCGGCACTAATCTTGAAGTAGGTCATGGTGTTCTTAAATCTGATATTGATGCGCGATTAACTGCTCTTTCTCCTCATGCTGACTTTACATGGTTGTGGCAATATGAACATGATGATGCTGTTCGCTACTATGTAGATATTTTTAGTCGCTGTTGTCCTCGCCATTCGATTGTACATAGTCTCATTTGTGCTGCATTGCAAGGCCAAACGGGATACTATTTACCTGAACACTTACGTGATCGTATTACTAAATCAGTTGTTTCAATTAGTCAAGAAACATGTATTGCAATCGGTTATCATTTCGATGATGTTATGCGTGAAAATGTCTACTTTAAACAATTGACTCCTGAAATGAACTTGAAACAAGTTCATGATGTTATTTTTAGTAAAAAATGGAAATGATCTATCCAACATAGAGACTGCACTCTTTTTGAGATAACTTTTGCTCTGTAGGAATTCACAGTTATGGTATCTCATAATATGAAATTGAAGTGGTTTTACTGAACGAACTTCATCTATTTGTTTGTAATCCAATTGTATTAATATGTAAAATATTGTGAGTTGAGCTTCTCCAAAATGAATAATTCTAGTCTATATCTGCACTTCGAACATTGAAGTAGAACAAACAAAAAGAGCATATGAAAGAAAAAGGTATTATTTAAAATGTGATAAGAGTATGATTCGAAAAATACTATACATCTTTGAACTTGTCTTTGTTTTCTATGCAGACAATAAATATTACAGTGAGCGTACAAAAGAGTTCAATAAAAACAACACACAAGAAAGAAAAATAAGAGAAGAGTTCACATTGATACAAACATACATGCCGATATCAAAAGTGTATCTCTCTTTTTTTCCCGACGAATTGTAATATGGTGACTTACCAAGTGCATAGTCATAAAACAAAAGATATAATCCAAAGTAAAGCAAAACAGCACATGTTAGCGTGCTCTTTTCTTTGTTAACTATCCATCCCAACGACAATTTTTCACTGCATTGTAAAATTATTTCTTGTTTACTGTTAAAAATTAAGTAAAACAAAGTTGTTGAGATAGATTAATGTTTAGAGAAATAAATCTAAAGCAAGCAATTTTCTTTTAAATCTCGCATTTTGTCTCCTATGGTTATTCAAGTGGAAAAGCATGGAAATCATCAATGAAACTATGCTATATATACATAGGAACAGCAACATTTTTACACAGCAAACATCATTTATGCTTACATGAGTCCTTGAATATTTCAAAAATTCTATTCACTATACAATCCAAAACAGAACTAGAAATGAATATTGTATTAGTTTGACTCCAAGAGAAACATATATAAACGAATATAATTATTCTTACTTCATTAAAATCACTGACGATCTCTAAAGTTACGGTTGAAATTGCACTTATCACTACTTCTCAATAAGTCTTTTCAACTGGCAACATCGACAATCATTTGTGGTTCGGTGATATTGACTCATCTGACAGTCATCATCAATCATTCAATATTACATGCATTCTTACAATACTCCATCTTAGTCTTGAATAGTCTAAAGTTGATCGATGTATTCGTATGTGTATTCATACTTATGACATGCGGGTGTTGATACGAGAAGGTGTACTGTACTTTTTTCCATTGACGCATCATATTCCCAAGTGATCTTCTTTACTGTTGATCGGCACAATAATACAAGAAACAGTAATGATAGGGAATGCTGACCGAGTACTCAAAGTATGAGATTAAGAATGTATGGTTGTTAAGTCAAAAAAGTTCGGTACAAGGACCATTCTACGCAATTACATAACTCAATCGAGTAATAATTTATATTTATCTATCGATACAACAGCTTATTAAATCAAAGTTGAAACATTTAATTCAACCGCTATAAAATTATTTGAAATGCTTCTAATCACTAAACTTCGATTTTGGATATCTATCTAGTACCATTATATATGAGCCCTAACATGAAAGAAGACGAACTCGTTCGCTACTTCATGAAATGATGTCGATTGGATCAAAAAAGACCTCATATGCAAGACATCATTAAAACTAGTCCTGATACACTAATAATCATCGATTAAATCCAACAAGTTTAAATTTAGAACAATAAAATAAAAGATGATAGTTTTTAAGGCTCCTTTTCCTCTTAAAATCGAAACTTCGTGAATATATTAGGATTAGAGATGTACAGGACCAACTTTTTTTAGTCCTGATCTTGGTAACTTCTTTTTCAATGGATCAGATCATAGTTCTGCTAAATCTGGTTTGGTTTCCACTTAGAAAAAACTATTTCAGGATTTATTTAGATTAAATCTAAAAGAAAGTGCTAAATACTTATGTTTTAATTAAATCAGCCAATGAATATCACTTGTTTTTATTATATCTGTTGAATTTTACTCCAATTTTTGTGATTTATAACATAATTTGCTAAAAATTATTAACAATTGAACTACAGGTTTTAGTTCCGGTTCGAACGACATTTATATATACACAAAGTTTCAATTTAATATCATTTAATAACTTGAAAATCCTATTTTCAGGGAGAGGAGACATTCAATTAACAGAATGTGTACGTCAAGTAAGGAGACATAGAAAAAAGGGATTTACTAAAAGGTATTTTTTCTAATTACACCAAAGTCGCTCTTCATCGTTAAGCACTAGATTTCACTAGCTTTCTCCAAGTATTTACCTACGTGCTAGAAACCTTCAGTTATGAAACTTTTCTTGCGGACAAAAAGATTATTATAATACTCGAAATTAAAAGTCGCAGTCAAGTTATTAGAAATATCCCCAACAGCTTTTACAGTTGTTAAATTACGTGTTCCAAACTTAATTTAATAAGTCTCTTCATCATTAAATAGATAAATAAAATTATTATTAAATTATATCATTGTGATGTCTTGACCAGTCACCAAAATATTCATGTTTGACTTAGATATTTCGTTCAAATATTTGAATACGACTCAAGTTTGAAAAAATACAAAATATATTCACATGTTCTCACTATGTCATCAATACTAACTAATTTACAAAAAATTTAGTATTCTTAGTTTCAATTGAGAATATCTTTAGAAATAATATTTTCATTCAACAAATGAAAATAAAATTGGCAGTTCAAATTACGCATAACTAACAAAAACGATGAGCTAAATGCTAGATATTCATAGCATCTCTTGAATTAATTCACGTAGCATGTGCTTTGACACGGTGTAACGTTTTTTGAAAGATTGAGTAGTGATTGGTGAGTCATTAAATTTGTATCGATAATTATTGTTTCTCTCTATTGTTGGACATTAATCATGAGAACATACGTGTTTCTGATGATGATTATAAAATAGCTAGTGAATTATAATTTGCTACTAAAATTGTAATCCTACTTTGTAATAGTATTTACCATTGATAAAGTAGATCATGAAGAAACAATACTGCAATAGTTGTTGCTATTGTTGACTCTTTTTCTCGTTATGATCCTATTTGTGAAAAGACCAATTTTGTTACTCAAATGTAATCCAATGTTCTATTGTGTTCTTTGTTACTTGCTCGGACTTTGATCCAAATCTGTGTTTATTCCCATGATATAAAATGTGTTTGAGTCGTACTTTAATTGTCGTTCCTCGTTTGGCTAATATCATGATACTATAATTTCAACCTTCGGTTTCTTTCTGTCGCGTTTTATCTATTTATTAAAGCCCGACCATCTTGTGTTATACTCATTTATTCCGATACTGCGACTCACATATTCGAAACATGGCCTTGATTCTATATGCGCTTATCAAACTCTTGCTTGTGTATACTGCGATTACTCAAAGTTTAGGTAAAAATATTTGTAAAATAGATGTTGATGCATTGTAAGTTTTTTCAATCAATAGCAGTGCATCAATGTGGTGAAAACGAACAATACACTTGTGGATCAACGTGCATTGAAACATGCGCCTACAAACCTGAAATTTGCGTAAAGATATGCAGATTCGGCTGTTTTTGTAAAGAAGGATATGTACGAGAATCGAACGATACCGAAAGTCGTTGCATCAAACGTGAAGAATGTAAACCAATCGATGTCGAGCATTGTGGCGAAAACGAAATATTCTTGACCTGTGGTTCCATGTGTCCACCAGTATGTGAAGATTGGTCTTATCCACTTCCAAAACCACCCAAAAGATGTCCCAAAATGTGCGTCCAAGGCTGTTTCTGCAAGACAGGCTTGTACCGTACGAAAGATGGTAGATGCGTCGAACCCAAACAATGTTGTGGCATGAACGAGTTATTCACAGATTGTGGTTCAGCATGTTCCGAAACTTGTAATGACAAGCCAGAATTTTGTACTGAACAATGTATTGCTGGGTGCTTTTGTCGTCGTTCGGATTATGTGCGCATGAATAACAGCACTGGCAGTCCTTGCATTCACCGTAATAGATGTTCAAAATAATGGCTAATGTTTTATGGATACGAACATAATCAGTCGTTCTTGATGTTTGAATTTAGTAAAACAAAACAATGAAACGAATAAAAATGATTCAATTCACTATTTCTGATTGCTATAATTTATCTTTGTATAATGTAAGAGAAAGATTGGTTTTTTAATTAATAATAGGTCTTTCAATGCGATTTTCAAAAAGGATACTGAAGTTTAGTATTTATTTATTTGTATCCGCTTTTCAGGTAATGTATCAGTATTTTCGTTCAAGCTCTCGTAGCATTGCCAATATAATTACAACGTTATATTGTAACAGTCATACTATGTTTTACTAGATCTTAAGATATTCATCTCAATAACGTGTATAACAATAAAAATAAGTTCAGCGATCTTGGTGTGTGAAAGATCAATTTNTCCGCGTTAGCCATCGATATTTGGAAAATACCTGACTTAAGCAGTAATACATGAGAAGTAAGAGAAAAATCTAGTATTTATATAAGTTCAACATATGCTCATAAATATGAAAATTTCTGAACAAATCATACATGATTTCTGAACTTCAATCTTTCATATAATAAAGACGCTCAAACATCCAAATTTATTAGCATAACTCATAGAGGAAGGTCAATTTTTATTTCTAGAAAACACGAAAAATAATTTGACTTGTAACATCTTTAATAAAGTCAAAATCGATTTGAGTCACCTTTTCCTAAAATTTCTCCACTTTAAATTCAAAAAACTTAACTTGAGTTTAACTTTTCATTTAAAAGAAAATTTTTTTGTTTAATTTAAATTTTCAAAAAATTTATATCTTGATGTAATATTTTTTTTTAAATTTAAATGTGCTACCTCTAAATAATGATATCCTAAGAACACTCTAATGTTATAAAATTTAGTACGATTATTTTTATTTAATGATCGCATCACCGAAAATCTAAAACTCACTTGGAAAATTTTCAAAGCCACTTCATCCTGTGATCGAGCAGCTTTGCAAATCACAGAA